TAATTACATAGAATCAGCAAGATCTAATATTTGATAGCATAGCACGGTGATTACAGTCAATGATAATTTATTGTACATTTAAAAATAAAAAGTATAATTGGAATGTTTGTAAATGATAAATGCTTGAGGTGATGGTTACCCAATGCCCCATTTACTCTGATGTGATTTTTACACATTGCATTCTTGTGTCAAAACACCTCATGTACTCTTTGAATGTATATACCCTTTACATATCCATACACATTAAAAATAAAAAAAATAAATGCTATCCAGTGAAGAATCAGGTCAGGTGAGAATAAAAACACTGAAGAATATGTATGACTATTATATTAAAAAAAATTAATAGAGAGGAAAGAACTTCAAAAGGGGGACTGCTCTCCAGTGCGAAGACTGGGGCTGTCAAGCTGTGTGTTAATTTCTTATTTCTGCTGTAATAAATTATTACATACCGGCCGGGCACAGTGGCTCACGCCCGTAACCCTTTGGGAAGCCAAGGTGGGTGGATCATCTGAGGTCAGGAGTTCAAGACCAGCCTGGCCATCATGGTGAAACCCCGTCTTTATTAAAAACATAAAATAAAATAAATTATTACATACCTAGTGACTTAACAAAAAAATTATTATTTATTTATACTTAAATTTACTTGTTTATAATAAAAGATACCAATGAAGAGGTAGATCAGACAAGCTCCAGAAGGGTTCTGAGTTCAGGAGTTTCTCCCATGGAATTAGGGTGTGCCACCCTCTCGGCACATGGATGCATTCACCAACCTGAAGGCTCTCAAACAATGAAAATTTATCTTTGACTTCTGAAATCTGAAACAAATCTTCAGGGCAGTGTTCTTTGTGGTGGCTTTAGGGGAGAACCTTTTCCCTGCCTTTGCTGTATTCTAGATATTGTTTATGTTCCTTGGCTCATGGCTCTCTTCCAGAAATGGTTTTACTCCACTTTCTGCTTTCATCCCCACATCTTCTCCTCTGAGTCTCTGATTTCCTCTTTTCCTTATAAGGATTCTTAGACTACATTGGACCCAAGTGGATATTTCAGGATAGTCTCTTCATCTCAAGATCTTTAATTTAATAACATCTGTCAAATATTTTTTGCCATGTAAAGTAACACATTCCCATGCTTCAGGGATTAGGATATTAATATCTTTAGGAGGTCACTATTCTGCTTATCACAAGCAGGCTGATTTGGATCATATGAAGAATGCCAAATGTAGATCAATGGAGCTTCTCATAAAGTAATTGAAAGAAAAAAAGCTGCCACTTTTCAATCTACACAATAATGTATCTTACATTTTTCAATAGTGCGTTCATGAGGGTTATTTGAGGAATTGGTATGAGACCTTGTTCTCTATAAATGAGTCTATCAAGAGGAGATGTTAAGGTATTTGAGTGGATGCAGTTCATTTCTCTGAAGAAAGAATTTGGGGATGCTGAAATGGCATATACCACTAGAATATAGATTATTTGCCTCTCTTTGACATCAGAATAGATAATAGTTTAATTACCATCAGTGCTCATTATATTTTAAAAATAGGCTTTCTTCTCACCCATACTGTAATTTGTGTCCAACATCAAGGAATTAAAATGTTGTAACTTATTTGCTATTTAAAATTTTGCAGGTGGATAGTGAATATGATGAAATAGTTCAGATTAAGATTGTGGCATTTGGGCCAAGGCTTTGGGCATCATTTGAAAGTTAGTGAAGCCCATGTTACACTTTTCTTCTTTTTATTAAAATTAATTGCTCTCAAATATGCAGCCTCCTTAACACAAGATCTTATAAATGGAAGACTTATTTGCAATGAGTACATAGCAGGCACTCTAAATGACTGCTGAAAAATTAAATAGGTTTGTTTGTCTATTCAAATAAATCCACTTTTTCTTCCATTTTTTATAATGAATTTGATGATACATGTTTTCTAATACATTGCAAGTACACATTAATATACTTTCAGTCCTAATGTAGTCCAAACCCCTTATTTTTTTTTTTTTTTTGTGGGAAGATGGAGGCTGAAGATTAGGTCAACTGAGGCACCCAAGTTCAAACAGAGGCAAAAGTTGGGCAGAGTCAGAATTTCAGCCTTCCTAGTTAATTGTTAGTTTTTATAAACCTTTCATCCCCATCATTCTTTCTTTTTTGACCAAGTGTCACAGTGCAACAGCTGAAACATAGATGGCAAATGTATTAGCCAAAACCATGCATTTTAGTGGGTGATGTTTTTCTTAGATTTTCTTTTTCTGTCCAATGCACTTTCAACTCTACCTGACCACATGTGTGTGTGTATGTGTGTGGGTGTGATTGCATGGTGTGTGTGTATTTTATATTAAGCATTTTTCAATGAAATTTTATATCAATGGGAACCCTTTGCTCTTCTCTGTGAGCCGGCTGCCCTACCATCAGGTAGCAGTTATAGATCTATAGAATTATTTTAGTTTCATCATGGTTCTTAGGTATAAAGAAAGGCTTTAATTAGCACAACAGTCTGCTATCACCGCAGCTTGCATAATTTTGGAGTTAGCAACTAACACATTACGTTTTTAAATTATTTGCTGAGATTTTTTTTACATTGCCTTCCCAATGATTAGCATTAAAATTACAAGTATTAAGCTTCATTTAGCACTTGAAAGACCCTTTGTAGTTCTCTATTCAGCAATGACTACATGCTAGATTATAGAGTTGTGTGCCTCATTTATTTATTAGGAAAAATAACAAATAAAGGGTGTGGCAGACAGATCCACTGTGAAAAATCAGAGATCTTGGACAAGAGTCTTTCCTCCCACAAGCCCATGGCTCTTTCCCCTTCCCTTTCCATTCTTGGCTACTGTCTCAACTGTCAGGGACTCATGTAGGGTCTTTCAGGTTTGTATGAGCTATTTTAAGATCAAGTGCCTTAAGACCATGCTTTTACACACATCTATTTAACGGGCCATTCTTTAACCACAGATTCAGTCTTGGGTATGCACTCATCAGCATTGCATTCTACTTTTGGGGAAAGAGATCATCCCCGGCCTTACCCAACCACCACGAACACACATCTTAACAGTATTAAACATTAAATCCTTGTGTGAAATAACAATTCTTTTATTCACAGCATTGAGGAATGTTCAGTAAGTGAGGAATGCTGCAACTGGAAGGCTCTAAAAGGAAGTCCACTTCCAAATCAACATAGAAGATGAGACCCTGCTATAGAGAGCTAGTCAATTTTCTTCTCCTGCCAATGAGATTTCCTGAATTGTATCCAACTTCAACAACAGATTTTTTTTCTCATTGATTGTATTGTGTGGATTTAATAAAGTAAGAGTTGAGTTACCATAGCAGAAAACCCTCAGATTTCTGGATCTGTTCTCTGATTGTTACTAGATAGAGAAGAAAACTAACACAAAAAGAACCCCCTGCCCAGCAAGACAAGAGAGATTGTGAGTAGCCATAATTCTATGATGGAGTTAACAACAACTGAGATGAAAGAAGGTTGTAAGAGTAAAGGTTTTCCTACAAAAATATAAACATGCCGTTGTCAGGCATTAAAAAATATCAAAGTTGCTGTATAGGTCACAAAAACATATGATAAGTAATGGTTCTTATCTCACTAGGTCAAAAGCTTTCTCTTAATGAATCTTTTAAGACTTGTATGAGTTAATATTACCTTATGCTGAGAATTTCCTCTTGGGATGAGGAAGAACATAAATATTACATAAAAAAAGATATTCCATTTTCATGTTCCATAAATTATTATTTCTTTAGGAAAATAGATTTTTAAATGAATGCGAGTGAAACCTTAAATATATTTAAATGATAAACAATTAAAATAAAAACTTACATCCTTTTTGTCTGTGTTCACTCAACTTTTCTTATAATAAAATAGAAATTTCTGGTGGCTGTGTCTCACTTTCCTTCCCATAAAATGGGAAACAGACTGGTAACCTGCCCTTTTCCCCTCAGTCAATTTTTGTTGGAAATTAAATGAGCAGAATGAGCTCTATTTTCTCATCTTGTATAAGTGCATTTCAGACAAAGATGGCAGTAATTTTGGAGATGTTGCCATAATAATATTTGAGTTATTGGATTCAGCTCAATCAATAACTTCTTGAGTTAGCTTGTTGGATAGTTCTTAATAATCAAATATAAAAAACAGGGCTTCTTATCAAGCAGAAGGTGGGTGCTACTCTAAAATTCTTCTCATTTACCTTTAGGAGTTTTATAAAATTGTCAAAGAAAAATAGATTTTAAAATACTCTAATTATAAAGGCTCTTAAGGAGGTGTAGGGAGGCTGGGCACAGTGGCTGATGCCTGTAATCCCAGAGTTTTAAAGGCTGAGGGAGGAGGATCATTTGAGACCAGGGGTTCAAGACCAGCCTGGGCAACATAGCGAGACCCCATTTCTAAAAAAAAAAATTGAAAAAATTAGCCAGGTGCTATGACATTCACCTGTATTCTCAGCTACTCAGGAAGCTGAGGTGGGGGGGGATAGCTTGAGCCCAGGAGTTCGAGATTGCAGCAAGCTATGATTGTGTCACTGCACTCCAGCCTGAGTGACAGAGCAAGACCATGTTTCTAAAAAAAAAAAAAAAAATTAAAATTAATTTACAAATGAGGTATAGGGGATGAAAGTGTCACAAAACCAAATGACAAAAAGTTTGAGTAAGGTCACTGATGTAAGGCGTAGAGTATTGGTTCAAGAACTGATTTTATCCAAACACTTTGGCAACTGAGCTCTGTCAGGATAGCCTCTTTTTACCTCGTCTACCAGCTATCTATTTTCAACCAGCAGGGTGCAACCTTGAGTCAGGCTGGATATGCTCTATCCATGTGGAGAAGCAATGACCAAATTTAACATAAAGATACCTAGAGGTGAGGGAACTTAAGAAACTCAATGTAACCATTCACACTGCAGGGAAGACATTTCGCGCTACTCTGGTAGAAACCCAAACTAGATAATGCAGACCCCCAAAAACAAGCAGAGTCCTTCCAGGAACACAAAAAACAAGTTATTTTTCAGAGAGAATTTAAGGTAGGGAACTGGTTGAACAGGCATTGGAGGACTAAAAAGCTACCCTGAAACACCAAGTTAACACAGAGAGAATAACTCTAGGAAACAGCTACCACCATTATGACCAGGAGCCAACATAAAGATATTAGGATGATAAGAACCTAGAAGCCTAGAGGAGGGGTCCCTGATAATCTAGGAACTATACCTTGCAAGAGAGAGTGCATCCATTGGACTGGCACCTGAGAGCTCAGAGGAGGAGCTGTAACTCAGACCTCTGAGTACAGCCTCCCTTTCAGCTGACACTGAAACCTAGTGGGGGCTGGTTCTGAGACTGCTGAAAGAAACTGGAATGTGGAAGCAACTGCTGCTTGCTGAAGTGAAGAGCTGTTGCTGGGAAGACAATTGCAAACCAGGATGCGAAACGGAATGGATCAAGTCCTTTCTTTGCACCTCTTGTTTTCTAGGCTCCCTTTAACACTCCCTGTTGGCAAAACAAACAAACAAACAAACAAAAAAAACAAAAACAACCCACAAACTAATAGCAAGTTGACCAAAGAGAAATGTGTTTGATGGAGACCCAGTGATAGCATCACAGAGTGTGGAGGGATTGGGAATTAAAAGATTATAGGTTAGGCTAGGCACAGCGGCTCACGCCTGTAATCCCAGCACTTTGGCACGCCAAGCTGGGTGGATCACCTGAGGTCAGGAATTTGAAATCAACCTGGCCAACATGGTGAAACTCCGTCTCTACTAAAAATACAAAAAAAAAAAAAATAGCCAAGTGTGATGGCAGGTGCCTGTAATCTCAGCTACTTGGATGGCTGAGGGAGGGGAATCGCTTGAACCTGGGAGACAGAAGCTGCAGTGAGCTGAGACCGCACCACTGTACTCCAGCCTGGGCAAACGGAACAAAACTGTCTCAAAAAAAAAATTGTAGATTAATAACCCTTACACCCATTAATTCCAACAATGATAGGACTTGGGTGAAAGAAAGATTAGCCTCTAATGTTGTAGAGCTGCACTGGCTATTAAAGTGCAGGGCTTTGAGGATGAAGTGCTGCTCCTCAGAAGCTTTTCACAGTGCTTGATATTGAACCAGTGCACTTCTCTCTCATTCAACAGCAGTTCTGACATCTAACCCACAATTTCATATATATTTGGCTTTCCAAAAATCTGCTATTGAGCTAAGCTTTTGCTACCCTATGAAATTAAGCAGCCTACCCCACAGTCTCTTTTCTACCTTGAATTTGTCATCCCACAGCTCTGGCTTGCTGTTAGCACAGTCAGTGTCTAAGCCCTTCTTACAATCACAGTGGGGACTAGCCCCCAAATAGCTGATCACACCAAGGACGTTGCCTCACTTTCATGTCCCTAGAACCTACCAGGAAACAATGTTAATGATAAAATAAAAAAAGATGTTTTCCGATCCAGAAACTTGACCCTGAAGTCATCTGAGTAAGAGAAACAATGCTGCTGACCTACAGTTTCAGAAACCATTGTAGGAACTCAGAAGAGGAATGCCCATATCAACCATGTATTTGGGCAAATTTCAATGAAAGAAGTGAGTTGCCTTGAACTTAAAGATGTGCTAAGCCACGCGCCTGTAATCCCAGCTACTCAGGAGGCTGAGGCAGGAGAATTGCTTGAAGCCAGGAGGCGGAGGT